GGCTAATCAGAGATTCATTTTTCTTTTTGGTAATTGCATTTGGGTTGAACATAAACCACGAAACCTCCACCGGATTTGCCATCATTGCTTCTCCATGAAAGAATTGTTTACATTGGCATCCCAGTAAGTGTTTATGTTAGGATATCTAGTTGCACTTATTTATGCTCATTCAAAAATTGTGCTTGTTGTGTTTGTGGTAGAATTAACCGACAAAAAAGAATGTATGTTAGCCTGGTAGGATTTGCTTAACTAAAGCTTTGTGTTGCTTGTGTTTCTGTTTTGTATGTATAGAAATGGTTCTATATTAATGAAAACCTCTGATTTCGAATAAAAAAAAAATTTCAACTCTCATTAATTGGATCTTTAGCTCAAATGGTAGAGCAATTGAGAGTACCATGGTACATCTCAAGAGATGGTGGTTCGAATCCACCAAGGTCCTAATCCATCATGAGGTGCATTCTGTTTCTTATTTTGTGTTAGAGTGTGTTATTATCTCTACATACGTCAAAAGTGATTTACCTATGTTAAAGAGTCGTTGTTTGCAGCAGTGTGCACACTGAAGACGAGTGTAAAGAGGAGTTGTTTGCAGGAACTGATTTGTAAGTGTTCTTTAGTCTTACACGCCGATAAAGCATTGTTATATTCTTTTTGTGATTAATATAAGTGCGACTTCATGAAAAAAAATATTAGGCAATTAAAACAGAAAGAGATGATAAAATAAACTTGTATTAGATTTTCTTCGACCAAGTAAGTCTAATAACCATTTCACATCCTTATAAATTTGTCATAACACAAAAACTATATTGCGCAAATTCAACTAGTTTTAGAACCAACATACAAAAAAAAATAGTTTATCCAACCAAGTGACAACTGCGTCCTCTATTACATAATTTTGACCAAATTCTTGATAAGATTTCTACCTCCGATTTCCTTCAACCTGAAAAACAATGAGTAAATAATAAATATAAGTAAAACGCCAACGATTTTGTCTTCTATCAACGATTTTTTTTATTGGTTCTGTCTTCTCCATGTGGATGGACAATTTAACAAGCATATATATAGAAAGCAGAAGAAATGAATTTAAACTTAATACCTTCATCCAACAAAGTCCACACTTCTTAATTTTCTTATTAGCACATCATATGGACATCTTAATATCCGTTAAAACGCATTCCACCTCCACTCCAAAAAGGGTAATGATAACCCTGTACCATTATAAAGACAATAATGCTTGTAAAAATTCGGAATCTTAAAAATGCAAGTGACGACAATGCCGAAACACACCTGCGTTTGAAGTGATAAATCAACACCAATATCACTATTAGGTTGACTTCCATAATGAAATTGTAACACCCCGGATTCGGCAGGTGGTTGCCGATGGGTGGGTCCTACCAGGCTTAGGGGTGGCATGTCCTGACTTTGGAATATAAGTATAGATCCGTCATATATTGACACCGAGGCCTTTTGAG